TCGGGGCGGGGCATGAGGGGCGGGAAACATCCAGACGGTACCCAGACCCCCCCATAGCCCGTCTCGACCTTCCACTCCTCTGTGGGGGGGCATTCCTGTCCACTCAACTAGCCTCACAACCAAACCGTTCCATTCAATCACTATACTCAGTTTACTCCACCTATACCTCGTGTTCCCTATCCTTCTTAATCACACTGGTTCCCCTATCGTCATATTTACGTACTACACTTGTTAACTCTAAAAAAACAGGAGTGAGAAAGACCCCTATTGACTGCGTACTGCTGTGTTAATACCAATCCTCCTCACTACTGCAACTCCTCCTCCCCTGTCCCTCCCTCCCCAAAAAAAAAAAAAAAAAAAAAAAAAAAAAAAAAAAAAAAAAACACAAAAAAACACTCAGGCTCAAGCCATCAACTATACCCTAGTCCTAAGCAGACCCATGACTGCACAGGGCCGGGCCATAATTCCATAGCCCCGGATTCCCATCCTGCTGTACCAAGCCTGGATATTTACCCCAGACGGCCCAGAACTTCGCCAGACCGTGATCTTTGGCTCTCCTACTCTGCAGAGCCTCAGTGGACATGGCCGTGCGCAGGCACTCCAGGACCCGTGCGCGTAAAACTTGCAGGGTGATCACCCTGCCCTGTCGACACCGTTCATTTCGAAGGGTCCAAATGGCCCAGAGAACAGCCGCTCGGATCACCTCCGAGGCATAGAGCTCCCCCTTGTCCTTCCTGTCCACCTTGATCAGGGCGCCCAATAAAATGTGTGCCACATCGTCCTCCGTGACACAGAAAGGAGAGTACTTTCCTACTTCTACGGCCCACCACATCCAAAACTGTTGGAGAGCCGGACAGGCGGCGAAGAGATGAGGGATGGTTTCCACGTGGCCGCATCCCGCAGTACAACGCTCGTCCCGATAATTGCTTTTATTGGCCTACCATTGCGCTGTGGGGACCGCCAGGTGGTAGATGAGCCACAACAGACCTGCCTGCTTCTGATTCGACAAAGATTGCAGCACTGCACACTGCTCTCTCCATTCCCTCTGTCGCCACCGGTACAGGTAGATCACGGGAAGCCACTCTCGTTTGGCCCACCGGTCCACCAGTTCTTCACGCAGATCCAATGGGGGGAGGAGGGAGCGGTACATGATCCTGGTAGTCACTTGATGGAGCCGGACTTTTTGTTTATTATAATTCTGCTTAGGCCAGCTCCATTCTTGCGGATCAATCGCCAGCTCTCGCCTTGTGCTGCAAATCCGGAAGGGTCGGGCACTTCCCAGCCCCCCCTCTTTTTTCTTCTCTGCGCATACCGCCACCGTCTCAATTTCGTCAGTCCTCCACCGCGTCTCCGCACCAGGTCCGACTCTCATTGGGGCTCCCAGACCCTCATACCCAGTCACCACGTTCCATGCTCGCGTCACCACCTCCTCACCCTGTACCTGTGTGATCTGGTATACCTGCAGGGGGTGTGTCTCTCCCTTGCGTCTCACCCAGTCTCCCCCCACTCTATGGTCCACCCTCAGTGTATCCACCCATTGCGTGGGAATAGCCCGCTGAAGGGCGGATAAGTTTTGCTGCCTCCGGAACTTGTGGGGGAGCCGCACTGCCATGTCAGCCTCTTTCCTCCAGTCCCTCTCTTCCTCGTCCCACAGGTGTCCGATCTTAAAGACCCCACATTCCGCCCAATGCTTCCCAAAAGCTCCAGGCTTCCCCTGTCCTGGGAACGGATCACCCGCGTTGTCACATATGCAGGGGTTGTCAAAGAGGAGTTGATTATAGACATCGTCGGCGGTGACCGGTAACTCCTGCTATAATTGGAGCTTTTTCCACAACGTCAGCGCAGCGGACCAAACCTGGTTCCTCTTGACGTGGCTAATGAGGCCTGGGCTGGCCAGCGCCACTAGGACCATTTGCTCTGTCATGCCAAGCGCCAGGGCCAAATGCTGAGTGGTAAGGCTCTCCCACGCTGTGCCCGCCGTCCCCAACAAAAACCACAGCAGGTTGCGCAGTTGARCCGCCGTCATCTGCAGTTCTGGGTCCAAGATCCCCAGCCCCCCTTGACTCCTGGGCTGGGTGAGCTTCGACCAAGCCACCCTGGGGACTACCGACTCCGCTTCCACATCTCCCGCCCACAGGTATCTATGCACCGCTGCCCGCAATTGTCGGAAAACTCGCCTCTTCGGCATGTGGATGGCCCCAGCATACCAAATCGTGGACAGCACCGAATTTTTAAGGACGAGGGCCTTGCCAAACACTCCCAGATGCGTCCTCTTCGCCCATCGCCCCAGCCTCAGAATTGTTGTTGCCGCCAATCCTTCCATCTGCTGAGCACCCCCTCCCACCGGATGAATCAGGGCCCCCAAAAAACACAGGTTTTCACCATCCGCCAAGGTGGGCACATCCCAGCCTTATGGGGCAATATAGCCCTGTGGGAGGATGGCCTGCGACTTCCGCCAATTCACCCTGGCCCCTGAGTATAGTGAAAACAATTCCAGATCCATTTGGAGGCGCCTTAATTGCTGTGTGGTAGGAGGGATGACTGCACCGGTGTCATCTGCAAAGGCAGTGGACTTGAGGATTATATCTTGTCTCAACTGCAGTCCCTGCAAAGCTTCATCCCCTCGGAGGAGGTCGTGTAGGGCCTCTATGTAGATGACATACAGAGCAGGTGAAAGCGGGCATCCCTGCCGTACTGATCTGGTAAGTTGCAAAAAAACGGAGCGCACCCCATTTACTTACATACACGTGTGTGCTGCAGCCAGGAGCAGTCGAGTCCAGTTAAAGAAAGTTTCCCCAATGCCCCTCCGATGCAAACTTTGAAAGAGGAATTCCCATCTCACCCGGGCGTAGGCTTTTTCAAGGTCGATTGTAACAAAAGCCAGTGGCTGGTCGCAGACCTCCTGGTGCCTAAGGATCTGTCTAGCCAGCATAATGTTCGAAACAATCTGCCTCCCCGGAACAAACCCCGCTTGAGCGGGGTTGATAATACAACGCAGCACCTCATTGAGCCGGTTCGACAATACCTTTGCGAGGATCTTGTAGGGAGCATTGAGGATTGATATCGGGCGCCAATTCTTGACATCCTCATGGCCACCCTTCTTATAGATCAGCACCACAAAGGCATCTGCAAAGCCTTCCGGGAGATGTCCCGCGTGCAAAGACTCATTGAAGGCCCGCGTGAGGAGTGGACCAAAGAAATGATTTTGTGCCTTATACATTTCAATAGGGACTCCATCCACCCCCGGCGCCTTGAGTCTTGGCAGCTCTCCAATCGCACTAAGGACCTCTTCTAGCGTGATGTCCATCTCCAAAGGCTGTGCCTGCTCCTCAGTGAGGCCAGGCGGAACGTGCCTCCAAATGTGCTCCTGCGGGGCCGTCGCCATTTGCTCCACAGTCCATCCCTCCTCCTCCGTAAACAGATCTGTATAGAATTCCGTTACACAGTCCAAAATCCCCAACGTAGTCTCTTGCCTTGCCCGCCGTAGGTCAAAGGGGGGGTCCATTGCCGTCATGAGGGCAATCCCSTGCTTCTTTCCCAGCTCCCTGAAAAATCGTCGAGACATCTTCTCACCCACCAGAGTCCATCCCACCTTTGATCTGCGCCCCCAGCGGGCGGTTTCCACCGTCTCCCACTCTTGCCACTCCCGCACGGCCTCCACTCTCTCCACCCACCATTCCTCTTCCGTCTGCTCGTCCTCGGGGCCACAATTAAGCGCACTGAGGCGGTCGGCGTACTCCTGTCCTGTGGCCAAGTGGGCACGGTAGCTACCGGCCAGCCTATCATGCAGACACCTGTGCATCAGAGCATTGCCCTGCGCCACCCATCCCAACTCATCCATTCCTTGGGGGCGTCGCTGCAGCCAATTATCCCAATGTTGTTGAATCAGRGGTTTATACTCTTCGTCCTGAAAGACCCATGCGGGAAGGGACGGTTGCGGATGACCCACCATAATGCCCCCCACCGGAAAGTTGGCTGCGACCTTTACATGGTCTGACAACGCTGTTGGAAGGTATGCAATCTCGCTGCCGCATCTAAAGATCGAACTCGAGGCCCACACCATGTCAATCCGGCTCCTTCGGTTTGCCGATCCATACCAGGTGAACTCCCGTCCCGCAGGGAAGGCCGTGCGGTAGACGTCCACACAGTCCAGTTCTGCCATAAACAACTGCAGCGCCTCCGCATCTGTCGTGGGCGGGCGTTCCTGGAGGGAATCCAGCCCCGGGTGGATAGTGGTGTTGAAATCCCCAGCAAACACATAGCATTCAACTTCGGGGATTTGGGTTCTGAACTCCGCCCAAAAGTCGGTCCGCGCGCGGGGATCCGAGGGTCCATACACCGACACCACACACCAGCGGGTCCGCCCCCACTTTAGCATCACCCAGGCCCATCGCCCCTGTCTGTCCCAGTTCCAGTCCACCAGTTCCCCTCGAAAATGGGGGGATATCAGGATAGCCACGCCCCCCTGCGTTCCTCTATCAGTTGCTCCTTGTGCAGGGGCCTAGACCTGAGATCCCTTCCACCAGGGGGCGTCGTGCAAACAGAGCCCTTCCCCCAACTTAGTCTCCTGGAGGCAGAGAACGTCGATCTGGTGTTTGTGGGCCGTACGCTGCAGCTCCCATCGCTTCGGATTTAGAGACAGAGTCGACAAGCCCTTCACGTTCCAAGTTAACAGCTTGAGCTTAGTTAATCGGTTTCTTCGATCCATCCCGGCAGCCCCAACCGGACGGGTGGAGGAAGAAACACCAGAGTGTAAAACAACAAACCAAGCAAAACACAGACAAGCAAAATGTARTCAAAAYGCAAACAACACACAGACAARCAAGCAAACAAGCCAGTTAGCAAACAAAACAAACAAGAATACAGCCGGAAAAAATCACAAGATTCGCAGCACTAGCTATTCTACTCTAGAGGAGGGAGTGCACTCACCCAGAGGCACTCATAATTAACACAGCGCACCTAAGTCTAACCCTGCTACATCCTATCCTCCGTCGCCCACCA